TTTTCAGCTCACTTCTTTCCCTCCCACTACACACACAGACACACACACACACAAACATGCCTGCATGCACACACACGTGCACACACACACATGCTTAGTCTACCTTGTTTGTGAACCTACCCACCACCAGGGGTACTAGACCTTGTACCTTCAGCCCACATCTTGAAGATGCCCTGAATCCCACAGGATGAAAAGCCTATGACTGACCCCAAGATGGGAATCCTCTCAGAAGAGGGGAATGCCCGTGGGATGGAGAGTGATGCTCTCAGCAAGCCAGAGCTGTCTTTCAGCTAGAAAGAACTTTGTTTCTCTGGCATTTGTTCTGTGATGCATCATTGAGTCTCCTCACACAGTCTCTATTTGTCTGTCAAGAGCTGAAAATAAACAGGATTCTTTTCCTTCAAAACCTTCAGCCTCCTCTTCCTTCCCCACAGTGCTCCATCCCTCCCCTTTTATAAGACTTGAAATCACTAACTCATAATACGTAAGACTCATTTACACAGATATACTACCTCTCCCAGCTCTACTTTACTTTCAAGATTCATTCCATTAATTTTGCAGGAACAAGCTTTACTCACTACTCAAAGATTTGCAGGATCATAAAACACGGTAGATATATTCTTCCCCCTTCTGCCCAGCCTATTCCTTCTCCTTGCTTCCTTCTTTCCTCCCCCCTCTCCTTCCTTCCCTCCCCACTTCCTTCCTTCCTTCCACCAACAGGTGACCATACAGCCTTGTTTTCCCAGAACAGTCCTGAGTTTCACATGTTGTACCTGTGTAACTATGAGTTTCACCCAACTTCACTATCAGAAGTGTCCTGGTTTAAATGATAAATTATATGACCTCTCACTCCATTCAACCAGCATTCACTGAGCATCTAATATACATCTACTGTACATAAGACACTGTTGTGGGTGCTGTAGATGCAAAGACGCACTTCTCCGCCTGCAGTCAAGTCAACTAGCATCAAGCATTTCACTGCTTGTTGCCCCGCTAAGTGCTACAAAGGATTAGAACATACCAGAAGAATTGTGGCTTTCTGGAGGCAGACTACACTGGTTTCTAAGCCCAGCACAGTTTAGAACTTTGGCCAAGTTGGCCTCAAAGAATCTCAGTTTCCTCATCTATCAAAAGGGCACACTCATGGAGCTGTGGAGAGGATTAAAAGAGACAATGTTAATAAAGCTTCTAGCACAGAGCCTGGTACTTTGAGACTTCAAAATGGTAGCTATTATCAATATCCTATGATTACAATCATTGCAATCATTTTATTGTTTTCTTAATTCAAAAGAATTGCATGCCCATCATAAGCAAATTCAACAATATAGAAATATGGAATGAAATGTGAAAGTCACTCCTCACACAGTTCCCCAATTCCACTGCAGACGTGATCAATGTTCACAGTTTTTGGGCAACCTACACCTTGTTCCACATAAACAAACCATACACACATGCACGCACACATGTGTATACATACACACACATATCCGCCTGCGTGAGATGAGAGGGTGTGGGTAGTATGCATGTGATAGATGCTAAATGGGATCTTCCCCATTGTTTTGGACTTGCAGCTAATGCACCAAAGCTGAAGATAATAGGTGATAAGCAGCCCGTTTTCTAAAGAGAGGCATGATACACACCCACACAGGATTTACTAAAACAAAGGAAAATGAGACCAGTGATCCCACCAATAGCCTATGTAAAAGCAGCTAGAAATTAATTTGAAATAATTATTTCAAAGGAATTTGTGGGAGTAGAGAGAGAGGTCTTTGGCTTTTCTCCTCTATATGAGGCCCAGGAACGGGGCTCCCCAGGTGAATGGCTTGTGCCTGTGAGAAAGGAACAGAGGTCCTTTTCCCTGGTCGAATGCCGGCTGAGCTGGATACCTGGTCAGGGCGCGGACGTGGAGTGAAGCTGAAGGGTTCTAAGGGGAACCTGAGGCATGTCTGCAGGAGTCTGAGATGAACGTGCACACAGTGACTGGTGACTACTTTCCTGTGGGAGAAGTCCGAGGGCAGGAGGCTGTCTGGGGCTGCCTGGGATGACACAGCCTGGAGAGGGCCAGCGGTTCAGCAAGTTGTACATGGTGGGGAAAGACTGTGTGAGCTTTGTATACGGAGGTTCACTGGGTGTCACTCACCTTGACGGAAGTCTGCTCAAAGGGGTGGTCTGTTAGGGTGCAAGGACCCCAGAAGTAAGAGACTGTAGGGTGAACTACGGTGGGAAGTTCCAGGAGGACAGGTGGAGAGTGACTCTCTTGTGTCATGTTGAGCCTTCTGGTAAAGGTTTCCAAAGAACTCACAAAGACACCTCCACAAGAGAACTGGAATTTAGATGCCCACCATGACAGAGGTCATTGAGAGGACGCCAGGATTATCACAGCAGTGGTAAAATAAGACATTTGGCTCTTTTTATTTAAAATCTCCTTTTCCATGTCTTGACCCCATTGGAGTCATCAGCAAGAGCGGGAGGAAAGGAGAGAGTGAGAGAACAAGCATTCCCCTGACCCCACTGCTGGTCTCCAAACTCGTTAGGCCCGTGCTCGGGAGAGGGGGAACTTTTAAATTGGATGTGAAATTCAAGTTTTGATTTTGACTGGTTACATTCTTTAATATCTGCAAGTGACCAGAAAAGAGGCTATGGGGTCTGCCTGTTATAAGATCATACGACTCGGGAAGGGGACACGGAAACAGATACACAGTCATTTTCTGTTGGTTACTGAATTCAACTCATTTAATAAACCACTTACACACACACACACACAACATATATGTAATAATCACAGGAGGCAAGGATCTTTTTAAAAAAACATACTAAAAAATTTTTATAAGCTGCTTTTCTCACTAATCAATATATGTCGTCTACGATAGTAAGCCTAGGCCTGCCTTGGACTTCTTAATAGATTTATAGAATGCTATGTAATGTAGGCACAAAAATTTAATTAACCATGCTTTACATTGGGGACATTTAGATAGTTTCCAGTTTCACACTATTAGAAGTAATGCTTCAGTGTATTTCTTTTTACCCAAGTGCCAATATTTCTATCGGAGAGACTCCCACAACTGAGATGATATGCATATTTTAAAGTTTGATAAATACTGCCAAATTGTCCTCCATAAAATTTGCATCAATTTATCTTCCCACCAAGAGTGTATAAGAGCTCCGAGCTCCTCACACCCTTGACAAGAATGTGTAGAAATATTTGTTAATTTGGAAGATTAAAAAACTCTCTCTCGTTATTTTGTTTGCCAGATATTTTAATGTAATGAGGTTGGACATCTTCAAATGTGTTTTTAAAATTTTCTTTTTATGTAAATTGTCTATTTGCCTTCCCCACTTTTCTATTGGATAGTTTGTCTTTTTAACATTTTATTGATCTGTGTTGGGGCCCTGTCTCTGTCTCTCTGTCTACGTATATATGTCTATCTCTCTCTGTGTCTCTCTTGCCATAAATGTCTGCCATTTGTACTTTGCCCAGTTTATTGTTTTCCTGTTTATTGTTACCTGTTTCACTTTTAACGCTGCTTATGGTATCTTTTCCCCTATAAAACTTCTATTTAATGTAGATAATCTTATTTTTCACGTTGTGTGTTAACCTGGGAAGGAGTTCTCTACTTCAATATTTGGATTGTTTGAATCTTTAGATTTTTAATTCATCTGGCATTCATTTGATGAAATGCCTTCTTTATATACAATATATGATAAATATATGTATAACCAACATTTCCTATTTTTTTTCTGTTATATGGATCTATTTTTCTATTCTTGTCTCAGCATCATACAGTTTTATTACTAAAACTTTATAACATAAAGACAAATTCTCCCTAATTAAAAAAAATTTCCTCAGCTGTTCTCTTGTGTTTACTGTTTCAAGGAAGTTTAAGGTTCATCCAGTCCAACTCCGACCTCCCATGTGAATACTATAGCAAGATTTTACTTCTGCCCATGGTAGGCTAATTTGTTTCAAACAAATCCTCCTGTTAAGAACTACTAGAAAGGCTGGGCAAATTTTTTTTAAAAAAATCTGTTTTAAAATATTGGAGAACTCCTAAAATAGCAAGAAATATATATATAGATGTAGATGTAGATATGGGTAGACATATTTTGGAAGATTTGTAGATATAAATATATATGCCTGTATGTGTATGTATAATCTTTTTGAAGGTATTGGACAACTACCAAAGCAGCAAGTACTTGAGGGGGCAAGAGCTTGGAAGATGAAGTCCACAGACATGAGCCCAATTGGTGTCAACTGGTGGCTAAAAGGCTGAGAAGTTAATGCGAGTTTTCTTTTGATTCATATGGAGGAGGTGCTGCCAAAAATTCAGCACGGGGTACACCAAGAGGACTGGCCCTGGTAAATAAATATTCAAGGCTTTCAGTTGGAATTTCAGTTGGGATACTATACTTTAGGAGTAAATGTAGACAGAAATAGGCTTACCTTAGCTCTCTTGAAGATTGAAGTTCAGCTATAAAGGATTTTTTTTTTTTTGAGGAAGATTAGGCCTGAGCTAACATCTGCTGCCAATCCTCCTCTTTTTGCTGAGAAAGACTGGCCCTGAGCTAACATCCATGCCCATCTTCCTTGACTTTATATGTGGGACGCCAATCACAGAATGGCTTAACAAGTGGTGCCATGTCCGCACCTGGGATCCGAACTGGCGAACCCCGGGCCACCGAAGTGGAACGTGTGCACTTAACCACTGCACCACCGGACTGGCCCCAAGGATTAATGTGGTGTACATCTATTATAACTGTTGTCACAAGCAAAGTTAAATCTTTTCTGAGGAAGATAACATCTTTTAAAGTCTTGAATTATCTCTATAATTTTTCCTGCACAATATTTAGAATTAAATTAAAAAAGAAGGCATGCAAAAAGATAATAATTAACAACAAATAAAATGAAAAAACAGAAAGTAGAAATAGGTCCACAGATGATATAGATATTGAAGTTATCAGGTATGAACTTTAAATTAACTATGCTTAATATGTTCAAGAAATTGGATGACAAACTGGAGAATTTCAGCAGAGAACTAGATACTATGAAAAAGAAGCAAATAAAAACTGTGGAAATGAACAATACAGTAACTGGAATTAAGAACTAAATGGTTTAACACCACATGAGCCACAGCTAAAGAGAGAATTAGTAAACTGGAAGATAGGTCAGAAGAAAATATCCAGAATAATACAAATAGTAGAGAATACCATTAAAAATAGGAGGATGGAGGGACACGGTGAAAAGGTCTAGCATACATGCAGCTGGAGTCCTGGAAATAAAGGAAAGAGAAAATAGGGTGGAGGATATTTGAAGAGATATTGACTGAGATTTTCCAAAGGTGACCAAAAAATCAAATCACATTTTCAAGAACTGCTAAAACTCCAATTATAATAAATAATAAAGAAAACTACACCCATACAGAACCTAGTAAAACTGATAAAAACCAAACACAAAGAGAAAACATTAAAACCATGTACCTGATAGAAATTCTTTTCTTATATTGTGCTAAAATAGATCTGCCTATAATTTTCACAGGTTCTAGTTTTATCTATGAAAATTTCAGAGAATTTTGAATTTCAGAAATTTTGGAGCTCATTTTCCCTCGATTTCTTTGTGGGGATAACTATCGACAGCTTCTGGAGTTTGAGAAACAGTTTTCAAATTCACCTAATATCCATTACCATCCACCCTTTCTAGAAACACTGAGCATCTATTATTTACCTATTACTTTCCTAAATGATGTGAATGCAATGATAACCATGACACACTCACTCTCCACGAGGAGCGCATCATGTAGAGGGTGGGAAAGACAGTAGATAGGAATCACAATGCTGTGTGTTAATTTTTATTATGGGTGTTAACAATTAGCAAGACACTATGAGAATATACAGCAGGGGCATCTAACTCATCATGGGGAAAGAGGACACAGTTCCTAAAGGAAATGACACCTGAGATAAGATAGGAGATTTATATATACATATTTTGGAGGGAAAAGCAAAACAGGTGTTCTAGACATAGAGAACCATATGTGGAAAAGCATAAAGAAGTGAAAGAGCATGCCATCTGGTCTTTCTGCCTTATTCTCAACTACAGCATATGGGTTCCTTCCTGCAGCCAGGAAATACCACTTCCAGCAGCTTCAGAATTGCATTGTTCCAGCTTAGCAAACTCAGTAGAAAGAGGAAGCTTTGTCCTATAGTCCATTTATCATTTTTCAGAGATGAATGCTGGCTCTTATGCCCACCCTTTGGACCTCTTAGACTTGGTGGAGGAATGCAGTACTAGGATTGGACAACCCTGAAGCATGATTAAAGAAGGATCAATAATTTCCAGCTCTAACGGAATCATATGGAGGAGAAGATGGGTAGGATCCCAGGGGATAAGGTGTTGGTCAGAAATAAGCAATGCCTATTACACTCTCTCAGACTAAACAGCAGGGGCTATCTGCAACCCCATTCTCAAGAGTTTTTCTGTGTTGCCATGGAATTTGGAGTCTGGACTCCTGGCCAGTTTCACCACTTACTACCTTTGTCACCCTGAGCAAATCACTCTTTAAACTTCAACTTCTGTGTTTATAAAAATATGTGCAATGTCAGACTGGCTAGGTTCTTGAAAAATTGAAATGAGATCATCCATATATAAAACGCTTATCCAAGTCCTGATACTCAATTCCTATTTAGATTTCCTTTGCTTTTTCCTCGGACTCTCAGGCATCTAAGCGATCAGCCTGGGGGTGAGAACCGTGTATGTACAGATCAGGTATTCCCGAGATCGAAGGACCACAGGAGCAGACTGTGGAGAGGGCTGAGTTGGAGGGAGAGGAGCAGAGATTTGAGTTATGCAGAGAAGAGGATTTGGGTCTGGGGCACAGGATGTGTTAGCTTTTGAGTTGACTCTGTCACCATTTTCGTGTGCGTGTGTTTGTGTGTGTATGTATGTGTGTCCATATCTGTGTCTTGATTATATAGAACAAGTTAAAGGTAAATTATTGACCCTGATACAAATGATACTGAAGAAAGAAGGACAAGAGAAAAGTCCTGGTTTGACAAGGTGAATGTGACTCCACCCTTCACGTGACTGTTTACCATTTACACTAACTGCTCTGCAGCACAAGAAGAACTCTGAACATTGTGAAATATGCTTCAAATTAAGTTCGTTGCAAGCTGCATTTGGTGACAGCAGTCAACTGTGTTCATGCGTGTTCAGCCTTGCTGCTTGGCTCTCCGCTCAAAAATCTGAAACAGAAAGAAAAACTGCTGAGGAAGCAAATACAAATAGAGCAAATCTCCCGGTGAGGCTTCTCTTGGTCTTCCCTAGTTTTGCTGTGAATGTTCCCTCCACTGTGACCTTAGTGCTTCCATCTTGATTGGGCCTCTTCAATCTGGAATATGTTCAAATTTCCTCATCATGCTGAGAAGAGAACTGGAAGTTGAGGGGAATGAGAAATGCTATGATTACAAAGCATCTTAATATTGAAAAAGAAAACTGGGTGCTTAAATTTATTTTCATTCCTAACACAAGACACTGGCATCCTGGAACATGGCTCTCCCCTCCCCCCTCCTCTTCCTTCCACTCCCCTCGCCTCTCTTCCCTTTCCCTCTTCTATTTTCCTTTCTCTTTCTTAATTTTGATCCTTATTGTTTGAGTAAAACATAATAATAGAAAATAATTTTAAAGTGAACATTTATTATTTAAATAAAAACAGTACCATCATTATGCGTAAAAAAAAAAAGCTTAGCTGACTTTGAAAATTGCTCTTTTAATTGCCGCTTTAAACACCAGCGTGACTGTGGAGGGTAAGTTTCTTCCTTCAGCCACAGCTTACGTGCTGCCATGGAAACACCTGGGCTGCAAGGCGAACAGTGGAGCTTGTCATGAAAATCATCTCTGGCATGAGGAAATGACAGTGAATGGAACAATCCTGACTCCGGGAGCACTTCCATCAGGCAGAGTGTGTGTACAACTGTCTCCAGAGAGAGAAAAAAACGCCCAGATGAGTCTCTTCCTGAGACCACCCTGAACATGATCAGCGATGGACTCCTCATCGGGTTAGAGAGAGAAAGTGGCCTCTGTTTACTGCTCCTCTTCTATTGTCTTGTGTTGGTTTTTTTTATTTTTTATTTTTTATTTTTTTGGTGTTTAACATATGCGTCATGATTGTTAATTATTAAAAACGTATACGGAAACTTCTCCTAGACAATGGATTTCCTCCAGCAAGTTAATTTAGTTGTCCATTCAATTAAATTTGAAATCAAACTGTATTTCTCCTCAGGGTAGATTCCTCCGAAAATCATCTCCAGACTTTGGCAGATGTAACCTGACTGCGAGACAGACGGACTAATGAGGCCGGGAGAGGGCAGGACAGGAAAGACCCACAAACAAGTACCTGTCGACCTGGGGTTGAGTCCTCCTCCTGGCCCTTATTAATTTGTGATCTTGGGCAACTAAGAAGGTACAGAATCTGTACTTAGTTTTTTCCCTGTAATATAGGGAGGATAATAATGGTAAAAGTACAAGGAACTGCATTGTGAGGTATAAAGTACTATACAAATGGCAGCTTTTATTATGGGATTTAAGTCCCTTTGAAAACTTTCACTTCCTCTTTTAGGAAGACCTCCTAAGATAGTTTCATTAGCTGTGACAGAGAAAAGAAAGATGTTTGTTCTTTTATAAAGCATGGTTTGATCATATTGTGAATTAAAATATTCATTCACATTCATTCATTCATGCATTCATTCATTCTTATAGATAACTGAAATTTATTGAGATGCTAGTAAGTAAAAGGCACTGTGCAAGGCAGTGGAGATATTGAGATGAAGAAGAATAACTTAAGTTTTGCCTTTCCAGAGATTTCCTTCCACTGGGAGACAAGGGCAAAAAATTCTACACAAATAAAAAATAAATAACAAACTGTGATAAGTGCTACAAAGAAACAAATAAGGGAATTAGAGAGATTTTACAACAGGAGGAAGGCCGGACTACATAGATATGAACAAGGAAGGACTATCAGAGGAAGTAAAGCTCTAAAAGATAGGGGTAGGGAAAAGATAGGAAAAGCAGCACATGCAAAGGCCCTGTGGTAGAGAAGATGTTGGCTTACTGAAAAAGAGAACTGAAATTACGACAGTGTGTCTGGGCCATGTGGGCCAAGAGGAGAGGGGCCAGTTGGGAGTGGAGACACAGCTAAAGGTTAAATCACACTGGGCCTTGGGTAATTTTATTCTCTGTGAAATGAGAAACCACTGAAAAGGTCTTAGACAGTGGAGGAACACAAATAGCTTCTTGGGCTATTCTTCTGTGAGTCTTTTTGAGTTCGAATTCTAGTTATTTTGCTGAGTACCTTAGCATACTTGAACATATAAGTACAAAATAAATTCTGGTTAGCACCACTGAGGGAAATCTCAAGATTAAGCTGAGTTCGTTTTCCTGTCACCTTAGAAGTTTAAATAGAAAACAAGAGATGGTTTCATTAGTGGAAGGTCACTCCATCTTCCATTTGTAGTGGATGGCAAACTCATGATGTTGATGGCCTTTGGAATTGAAGAACAGGAAAGAACAGACCGAGGCTTTTCAGCGGGAAGGCATGCATATAATTAACTGAAATTCTTTTAACTTAACTGCATCTAGGGGAAAAAAACCACATGTTTTTGGACTTTGTCAGCTTCCTATAGTTTTTTCTTTTCCCCCCTAAGACATTCAGGAATTCACAGAGTACTGTTTTCAGCAAGAATATTCTGTTCTGTTGTGCTTTCTGTTTGAAAATTTCTGTTCTGGGCAGAATCCTGTCACTGAGCAAGAAATGCTAATTGGACATGTGATTCATCTGGACAGCTGTGAATGGAATTTTTGCTAACCAGCAGCAGATGTAGGCCTAAACAGCATGGCAAATGGCCATTGGCATAGATGTGATGTTAGCTGCGTGTGCCTGTGCTCCAATCCGCCAGCATCTCAAAGTCCTTTTTCCTTGAAAGATTTTTATTACATATTTCTGTAAATTAATCTTAGTAATTGTAAAGGGCCAACCCAATTGATTGGCATGGAATGAGAGAATCTGTCACATCATTTATAGTACTCCAAAGAGTGAATTGGTGGAGTTAGATGGGAAATATTGGCTTTCCAGTTGAAAATGCAGAACAAATGCTGGCGTTCTTAACAGAACTTTGCCTCCTTGCAGTTCTTGTCCTGGATGGAACTGTATGCCACTTGGTCTCCAAGTCATACCCTTTAGTTTATTTAGGAATAAATGCCTTTGGAAATGAACCACCCCAAAGCAGGAATTCACAAGATGATACTGATCTTTCTTATTTGCTTTTAAGTTTGATTAATTGGTGAATTGATTTTATATCAGATGCTGGTTCATTTAAAGTAGTTACATTTAACCAGGAGTAAACCCTGAAAATCACTCAAGGAATTTACAACAAACAAACAAAAACCCTGGGTTCCACCTCCAGGGATTTTTATTTCAAAATAAATTCCAAATAAATTATGTCTTTGATGATTTTGATGTACACCTCCAGTTGAGAATCTCTTGTCAAAATAAGACTTTAAAAAAATAGCTTAAGGTCTCTATCAGTAGCTCAGTGTGGTATACAAGAATATCACACTACACAGGCATCATATAGTTCCCATACTGAAGAGAGAGCGGGGAGGAAATCAAAGAGTTTGGCGTTTCCAAACCTGGCTGGCCTGTGATCCTCCCCACAATGTTCCTCACGGTCACAAACTTAATTTTTAAAAGAAATCAGGTCACCCTTTCCATTGTAGATTCCCTGGTGGAAGTGATGGTCTTGGTTCCTGCTGTGTGAAACAGTGCCCCATTTGCCCTCTCATTATATGGAAAGTAGAAAACTTTCCATTGGTCACTTTCACTTTGAGGGCACCTCACATCCTGTAGCAACTTAAGTCTTTGGAGTGTTCCCTCTCTGCAGTGCTCCTGAAGAGCTACAGCGCAGTTCTATGCCTTGTCTGCACGTTAGAGCTACCTGGAGAGTTGTTGCTTTTTATTAATCACGTCCATCCGCCCTACCCGACAAGAGATTCTGACCGTTGGTTGGGCCTGAGGTGTCTAACTGCTTTAATGTTTTAACAGCTTTCCAGATGATTTTAATATGCAGCCAGATTTAAGAACTACTGGTCCATGGCATCCCAGTTTGCCATCCACAGATCTAAGGATCTGGCTTATTATATTAAGAACCAACAACAAAGAGAATTGTTGGCTGGATTTATTACAAACATGCTGGAATGTATGTACGTTCTTCACCATAACCTTATTATGTCTTGGTTATTGATATGTCAATCTGCAGATCCAATTTGTCCAAAATCCATAGGTTTAGACTTCAAACCTCAGAGGACTGTCATCAACACTATTCTAGCACTAGGCAAGATTATTCTTAGAACATCCATCCATTCATTCATTATTTATTTATTCATTCATTCATCAAACAATTATTGAGTACCTCCTATAGTCCAGAAATGAAGATAGATGCTGGGGAGGTATATATCTTAAAGGATTTTACAGTTTAGTTGGGAGGAACAGATGTGCAAACAAATAGTCACAATTTAATATCATAAAAATTGTAAATAGGAGCAATGGACACAAGAGAAGATCACATAAGAATGCCTGATCAATTCTCTTTGGTGAGTAAGGGAATACGTAAAGGTAAAATAGACAAGTTGAAGTGGGTGAATGAACGCTCAACAAGTACATATGGTATAAGGTTGGATAGAAAATTCTAGGTAAAGGGAAGATGTTTTGCAAAGCCATGAGAATTCTAAATAGCACTGTATGTATTGTAAGTTGCATTTAACTTGGTGGGGCTGGTCGATAGCGGGTATGTGGTAGAGAAGAGTATATGGCAGACAGGGATTGACTGTGGAGAGCCTTGTCTGCCATCCTTAGGAGGATGCATTTGGATCTATAGGCAATGGAGCACCACTGGAGGGGAGAAAGAAGCAGATGCATCATGTACCGTCTTACAAAATGCAGGTCATCATGACTGGCCATTCATCCAGGGAAAACAAATCATACCACCCCTGAGCCAACCCATACTGAGGAGATTCAGGCAAGAGACAAGTACTGAAGAAAATACAAACCATCCAGTCATCCATTTACTCACTGAACAAACATTTATTGAACCCTACTATGTGCAACCACTGGGGATACAGCAAGATTTCTCAACCTTGACGCTCTTGACATTTTGAACATATAGGACATTTTTGGGGTGGGGGAGGCCAT